ATGAACATATACTCCTATAACGAAGCGGTCTGAAATTTAAAAATAAAAAAAAATAAAATAAAATAAAATAAAATAAAATAAAAAGGAGATAACGGCACTGTTACCCGTGTCCAGCATGCATGTTGGACACGGGTCCAACGCATAACGATTGCTATTGATTAGGGTCCACCTTGCAAGTGGACCCGGGTCTAAAATACACAATTTGCATACTAAATGTTCACAAATTACATATTGAATGCCTACAATTTACATATTTAATATTCACAATTTACATACTAAATGTTTACAATTTACCTTTACAAAATTGTGAGCATTCAGTATGTAAATTACGTATTTTAGACCGGAGTACATTTATCTTGTAAGGTGATCCCGAGTCCACGGAACAATTTACACCCTCAATCAGCTGAACCTAAACATATAATTAGGCATTCAACCCGCATGAGCTTAGCTCAATGGTTTAGTGGGCAGTATTTGGGGTAAGAGACCAAGGTTCGAACCTCAACGGCGGCAGTGTGGGAATTATGTCCAAAGTGGGCACCGACATTTGACCTTGTCTACTAACCCATTGAGTCACATCTTTCTTGACAGGTCCACACAAAACCTCCTCAGAAGTATCACTAATGTGGATAGTGTTAGAGGAAGGTTTGGTACAAAGTACACCTAGTAGTAACCTATTGAGTGCTTCCTTAGTAATTGGTGCATATATATTTAATGATAACTTATGATGTAAACAACATGTTTTTAATTTAAAGAACAAATTAAAGGGGATACAAATGATTGGAGAAATGGGGAGTGCAAGCAACGTGTGGGCACGCAGCTGCCAAGGTGGTGTTTCATGCCTAATCTTTCCTCCTATCCCATGGCAGCCGACAAAAAGGAATGATGCTTATGATCGATCGTGAAGTACTGACCACGATGATGATGCTCATCTGATAATGGTATGCCATACATATATGTCCCTTACACGCTAGGTTTTGTTGTCTTCCACAAGCAATCATTTTCCTCTCTCTCTCTTCCTCTCACATGCAAATGGAAGCTTTTTTGCAGGGAATATATATATATATAGAGCTTGGAGGATATGGCGTCAGCCTTAGCTTGCATCTCATCTCTGCCTAAAATCACCATGCCTTGATGCCCATGTCATAAATCTACCAGTCTTCTAGTAGATCCAAGATAGATACACAGGAAGCATAATTTATCCATTATTGTGTTAGGAAATTGTTACTTTGACTCTCTAATTTTATTATCAACTTTTATTTCCTCACTATTTAAACTTTCATAATGAAGATAACTTATCAATGGTTGTCATGTCAGAGAATAAAAGTGAGAGTATAGATTGTAAGCCCATCTAATAAAACTCATTGTGTTATGAGATCGCATCAACAACGTAACTAAGGATCAATAATATAATGTAACATAACCATTTTAACGGGTCGATCAGATAATTCCAAGTATTTAACTTTCTAGAAGTCTAATAAGACAAGTATGAGTAGTTAATAACGAGGTTCCTGAAGATGAAATAGTACATGTTATGAGTTTGGGTAGTAGTGAAAATTATGTGTCAAGTACTCAATGATTAATAGTATATGTACGTGGAATATGACTTAAATTTCAATAGTTGAGAACCAGTTTGAGTGCAATTAAAAATTATTGAATCAATTTTAAAAAAATTATAGTCGGAGGACCATTTTGAGAAGAGTTTTATTACATGGACTTTCAAATTTTACTCTCTAAATTTCTAAGCACTGATAAACTACTTTCTTCATGTAGTCTGAATACTAATGCCAATATTAAATTTTGTATATAAGAATAAAAATTAGGAGTAAAAAATGGTATTTTTCTTTTGGAATTAACTCTTTTTATATAGTAAGAACAATTTTTCAGAGGCAAAATAATTTTTATGGAATGATATTGTAAAAAAAAAAAATTGTCATGTAGGATCTTTTTAGGGAAAAAAATACCTACAATTGATTGGATCCTATGAGTAGGTCCATAAATGGGGGGTCCACATTGAAATGGACCCCACTGTCCCACAGGTTGCCCTTGCTCACATCAAAAGAGATCAAGATGTGAGCAACAAGAAAACCGGTTATTCCCTTTTCTGATTCCTGTCTGGTACATTAATCTCGTGGGAGCTGTGGGACCACGGCGTTTCCAGAGTTCAAACTTATTTTCGGAAACCGATCAGTCCAGTTACCGGTCACACCGGTAACGGAGTTGTTTTGTTAGTTCATCTACCTGTAACGAACCAGAACCAGACAACATTTGTCCAACCTCGTGACATTTTTATTTTTATTTTTTATCAGTACAAGTAAATATAAATATATATAATAATATCAAAACGAGTTATGTACGGAGTACAATTTACTCGGAACATATCTCAATAAAAAGTATTTTATTTGTGTAAGTAGTACTGATAAAAGGGATCATGGCCGCCGAAGCCTGCTTGGCCTTCACTGTGGGATAAACGGGGCTGAGCCGGTGAGCTTTGCTCATGTTCCTCTTTCATCCATTTGATCACATGAGTTACCTATCCAACTGTTCAATTCAACCAACTCAATTTTGGGATGTGCACTATGTAACTCTACATTATGACCTTAGTCGATAAAATATCACACTTAAACCAAGAAGGTTAATGAGTTTGGCCTGCTGGAATTGAACACGTAACCTTGTTGTTACTACTTACTAAATCAATAGTTAAACCAACTTAGTTAGGGATTACTAAGAACCTAGAAAACTTAGTTAGGGATTACCCCATGTAAAGAAATTTATTACTGAAATAGAAAGTGAGCATTAAAAAATAAATGTAAAAAAGAAAAACAATTAGAAAAACTAATAATTTAATTTAAAGCATAAAATAATATACTTAAAATAGTTTTACCAAATGGCATATATAGGTAGGTCCACATTCAATTGAGAGCACAACCCCCTAAAGTTAGGAAACCATTATTTCACATGCTATATAAATCATGGCAAAATTTTGTAATAAGCTTAAGATTGTGCATATTGCACTCCTAATATGTTACAATACAATATAACTATCACAAGCTTAAAGATTTGTGTTTCATCCTTTTTTTTTTTTTCAATTTGTTAATTTTATATTGATGAAAATTATATTATGCTAATATTTTATTATTGCATTTCTTGCGTAAAATAGTAATAGCAATAGCAATACATATAATATGCAAATAATATAGGGTGCATGTTGTTGCATTTTCAAATTAAATGTAATGCATTCCCTAATTCATGTGAAAAGTTAGCTACTTTAACGCATAAGATATACCTATATTTATTACTACATTTAAGATTAATATACTTTTTTAACAAATATTGTGTATACTAGCATTTTGTACGCGCTATGCGTGAAAACTTATGCCCAATATTAAAATATTTGTAAGTAACAAAATTTTAAAAATTAGTTAAAATTATGTTTTGCAATTTCTTAAAGTGATGATACTTTTGAATTATCATATTTTTTGAATAATATAATGATCAAAACAAAAAAAAAAAAATAAATAAATTATATTTTTATATAATAATAATTTACAAATAATACTATGCTAAGACTCACATATATGATATATTGATATGGATACACAAATAATATATATATATATATATATATATATATATATATATATATATATATATATATATATATGATACACATATATAATTTAACATTCATATAAATATTTAATTAAAATATAATTTATAATTAAATTAATTGTTATATGATAATTTTAATAAAATGATAATTAAAAATAGGAAAAAGATATGATAGATGTAGGTGTATGGTAAGATTGATAGATATATTAAAAACTAACGGTGTTATAACGGTGTAAGGGTGATTTTGTCCAATGCAAATGAATGTACAACAATTAAAGCAAAATGTATATATTTATTAGCATATAAAAAAGGGACAAAAATCAATGACATAACTTGTATTGACACTTATTATGTTTTTAGATATGTTGCTATAATGCTATAGAATGACATACATTGTATTGCTAAACTTTTTTTTTTTTTTTTTCGTTTTTTGAGAATAAGAACTTACTTCATTAAATCGGAAAGAAGAACATCAATCACACAATGAGGAAGATTATCAAATCACTCCCCGCAATCTGACATAGAAACGGCTTCGCTAGCTACACTATGGGCAACATGATTCGCAGATCGCTTAACAAAATCGAAGTCTACCCCATCAATCGTGGAGACAAATTCTTAACATCGTCAATTATAAAACCAAAAGCTGAACAAGTCTATAAACAAGTATTGCTAAACTTATACAAATATGTTTCTTTATTGGGTCGTAATAAGTCTATAAATTTAAGTAGTTTTTCAAAGAATAGTTATATAACAATTTATAATTTTAATCATCATTTGAAAAAAAAAAATTAAATAAATTATGGTATAAACAGTTATAATTGTTTTTGGGTAAATTAACAAAAGAGCAATAATACGCTCTATGATGCGCTAAACGGGCACGTGGAGTGCATCCGCACGATTGAGCGTCTTCAATTCGGTTCACGCGACAAACATAACAGATTTTCAATTTTGGTGGGGCTCATAGTGCGGATAAAAACCAGGTCGAAGACTCCAAAATCTCTCATCTCCATATAAGTAACTTAACATGTAAAAACTATCAAAAATCCCCTATTAGAGATACTCTAACCCCTTCCTTCCATAAAAAAGTTTAAAAAATCAATAAATATTTATAAAAATAATACAATGATAACGATTAAACTATTCTAATATAAGGAAACTTTAGACAATCACGCAGTTGGTGAGCGCAATAAGAGTGATTCGATTACATGTTGCATTTTCTTCTCCCAAGCGATGCTGACACGCCGACTCCAGCACAGAGAGAGAGAGAGAGAGAGAGAGAGAGAGAGAGAGAGAGAGAGAGAGAGAGAGAGAGAGAGTCACTTTGGTGAGCTGAAGAAGACTGCGGCCGGCGTTCAAAAAAGCGAGCAATGTCGGTTCTTTAACCTCTATCTCTATCTGTCTGTCTGTATGAGAATCATCTTTTTTTCATTCTTCTATCTTTAAATGCTTTTTACTCTTTTTCTTTGATCGATCAACCGATTCGATTCGGTTGCGCCAAGCTTCTTCTTCTTCTTAGTTTGTATGCTTTCTCGAGCCTCAGAATTCTCCAGATACACCACCTCCAACGGTTAACTCGTCGTTTTCCCGTAAATGTGGTAATAGTTTTCATCCTTGATCCGCTTGGTTTGTTCAGAAAATCTTCTGGAAAAAAAAAAAAAAATTCTTTTTACTGTTTCTGTTGGATTGTTTATTGAGTATTTTAGTGGTGGAACCGTGAGTTTTTATGAGGAAAATGCGATAAAAATTTGATCTTTAATGTTTCTTCCTTTGTTTTGATTTCTTGCTCTGTAATTTGTGCTGGTTTTATTCAGTAACTGTTCTTCATGATATAAGGAACCGTTTTTTTTTTTTTTTTTTTAAATAATGAAATTTGAGAATTTGTTGCGTTCTTCTCTGTGTATGATCTGCAATTATCATATTTTCGTCGAAAATGTATTATTAGTTTAGAGTTATTGATGCTGGGCAGATTGTGGGTTAGACACAATCGAGTCTCACAGTGGCAGTGTGAGAGTTACACCTATGACACCGGTCCTCCCACCTAATGGGCCCGTGATTTACTCATTCAGGTCGCGGTATGTGGGGCCTGGTCGAGGGAATTTCACGTTTTGTGGGCAAGTTTAGAGTTATTGATGCATTAAATTGTTTTGAAGTTATTATCTACCTGCTTGTTCTCCTTTAAGGAATCTGAAACTCCTGCCACATTTAATACTGATTAATGATCTTTCTTCCTTTACAGGATTGCAAGAATTTGCCAGGGATGATAAGGTATCTTGATAGAAATTGCAGTCCTCTGTGCTGATGATCTGCTTCTGCCTGTTGGCAAGAGGATACCGTTGGATGTGAATTTTATGCGTTTGGGTTTCGACTCTTATGTTGCTCGTTTCATTGAGTGGATTTAAAGAGGTGATTGTGTTTCATATTTATAATTGATTCAAGATGAGCTGGAACCCTCAGATGGAATTTCATTACCCAAATTCTGCCATGCCTTACAACTCCATTGGAAGCTTCATGGATTTCTTTGGAGCCATGACCTATGACCATGTGAACTATATCTTTGCCGATGCTTCATATGCTCCAGTGAGTTATCTAATCTTGTTTATATTACAATTTTTGCCTATGGTCTTTCTGGATTGGCTTAACTTCAAGAACGATAACTGACAAGTGATGATTTAGTGATCGTTAGCTCATTAACTCGTTAAGCCACAGTTTTATTGTAGCTTTACTAGGACTCTTATTGTGGCAAAACAAAAGTTTAAGTCTTTGTTTAGAGGGGCCCTTTCTATTAAGCAGTTAGGCATCCCGGCCTAAAAAAGAAAGTACTGTAGCTCTCCTTTTTGAACATGGCATCTTTTGTCCTGTAAGCTAAGAATGACTGAACAATGCCCCTTTTTCTTCATTTAGGATAAGCTTGTGAAAGCCTTTAGCAATCACTGCAGTTTCTTTCGATATTTTGATTGATTCAAAGTTGGTTATTTTTGTGACTGTCTTCTATTATTGTTTTGGGTCTTTCTTCTCCTCGAAGGTTAAGACTACTCAAGATTTTGCATAATATGCGTGTTTAATTGCAGGAGAGTCTTTACCCTTCTGTTTATACCAATCAATACAAGTTCGGGTTCTCTGAAGCTGGGAATTTCTGTTATTATGATTATAGTCATGACCATGTTTTGAACAATCAAGTATCTGGAAATGAGGTGCAAGATCGACATCTAGAAAACCCTTCAACGGTTGCTGAAAGTGAGTCTGTAGCAGCAGATATGCACCAACAAGAAAATTTGGGTGCTAATTCCATGGAATGTGAGTTCTGTTTTCTTGTTACTTTCTCGTTATGTCTTTTTAGAGAAAAATTTGCAGATATTATTGTTGATCCATTAAGCATTTTCTTCTAATTTAGCAGGTCCTCGAGGTCATCATAATACTCGTGTCAATGAGGTATGAAATTTTCTTGTCAAAACTCAAAAAAGCCACCTTTTTTAGTGTTTAATTTCGACTCCTCATATCCTCTTATGAATTACTGCAGGTTGTTTGGCAAGACAATATTGATCCCGACAACATGACCTATGAGGTTCACTGAGAATTAGTTATCTGAGTTCTGATTATTCATTCTGTCGTGTTACTGGCAAGACAAGATCCCGAAAACTGACAATATTGCTTGACAGGAATTGCTTGAATTGGGAGAGGCAGTTGGAACTCAAAGCAGAGGTCTTTCTCAAGACCTCATCTCTTTGCTTCCCGTCACAAAGTTCAAACGCGGCCTATTCTCAAGAAGGAAATCAAGAACCGAAAGGTAAGATTCTTTCACTTTGACATAACTTAATCTCCGGCTTTAGGAGGGTTACAAGTTACAACCCAAATCAATATAATCTAATTTTCGCCTAAGCCAATTTAATTTGGTTCCCGTCTTTAACAGGTGTGTGATCTGCCAAATGGAATACAAGAAAGGCGATCGTCAGATCACTCTTCCATGCAAACATGCCTATCACAAAGCTTGTGGCAGCAGATGGCTCAGTATCAACAAAGTAATCTCGATTAAACCTAAACTAATTTACGTTTCAGTTAGTACACCATACCGAATATCTCACCCACATTGCTAAATTGTTCCTAACGTTAACAGGCATGCCCGATATGTTACACAGACGTGGTGATCAAAGCGCCAAAGCAGTAAAGGTTTTCTATTTATAAACATAGGGCGACCGGATCGGATTCATCTTCTCTTTATTCAATCTTACTGTAGCTTTAATTTCCCATCCCTTTACATTTCCTCTACATTATCTTCCTTTGCTGTTAACCTTTCATGTTAACATATGGAGATTTAGCTTAGTTGATGACTTGATGTTAGAAGAAGAAGTGTGTTGTCAGAATTCTTTTGTGTTGTTTAGAGCTTGCAATTAATATAATGCTGGTTTACATGCAAGTATTGTTTCATGTGTTTCCCCCTATTGTAAGATGACTTCCTTGAAGGCATAATAGCTGTAAAATTCTTTACCTTATAAGACCTGATCATGATGATATATATGATCTCTGGATAATTAAATTGGTGGGACCTGCCAAAGACCTTGTAGTCAAGCGACATAACTGTGGCTCTCTCAAATGGGAGGTCACAGATTCGAACCCCAGTGAAGGCAGTGACTCAAAATTAAGGGTGACCAAGTAAGTGAAACATGATTCTCGTACCAGAAAGTCACCAGTTCGATTCTTGCTACCAGAAAGACACCAGTTTGATTCTTGCTAACAGCCTCCCCGATTTCGGTCGAATCCATTGCACGAATCCATTGCACAGGGTCCTCCGGGTATTGGTTGTGGGTAGAGAGCACCCAAGTCAAGTACATGGGCAAAATGTAACATAAATCTTGTATGTAAATATAGATATTATAGATATATGGTGATAGTAATGAGTTAACCATACATGCATGGAAGAGAAGGTTTAACATGAGAAAGAAGAACCTGTCAAGATAGCCAAGGAGACTGCCTGAAAACCATATCAAAGGTCTTTCTACAATAACTTCATGAAAGACCTGAAAATGGTGCAGGCAAGTCATCCTTGGCTACCAAACAACATTCTTCCTATCATGTCAATCCCATCTTCCTTTCTGATATGTTGATTGATCATTTCCCAACAACTTTATATTGTTTTTCTTCAAGAATATACTATTTTTCGCGGTGTTCGATTTGGATCAAGAAGAGAAGGGCTTGCATGAAAGGGAGGAGCAGGTCAAGTTAGCTAAGGATGACCTGCCTGAATTGAAACCTAGAAAGTTTCAACTGGTTATGTAGCTTAATTAGCTTAGGCAAGTCATCCTTGGCTACTAAACAAGACTCTTCTCTTCATGCAAACCCTCTCTTCTAGCTATATTTGCTTGGTGCTTCTACTTGGCAATGAAGCCCTATATTTATAGCTTCAAGAAAATTAAAGGTTTAAGTAATTTGAGGCCCAAAAATCCCCTCCACTGAAACTTCAGAATAGAGGCAATGGGACCCTCATAAGCAAAGGTAATGGATGCCCATGCATGCATGCTTCAAGAAAAAGGTTTAAGTTGAGGCATGAAATTATCCTCCACCAAAATTTTGGAGCAGAGGTAATGAGAACCTCGTGGTTGAGGTGCAATCCTTTCGTTAAGATAATGTTTAAGTAATAGATGACATGCATGCTCTAAAAAAAGCTGGTTTAAGTAAGTTGAGACATGTAAATCTCCTTTGATCCACTGAAACTTTATATATAGCAGAGGTAATTGGACCCTCGTGATCGATCAATGTGTAATGGTTGTCCATGCATACTTCAAGAAAATGTTTAGTAATCTGAGGCACGTAAATCTCCCCCACTAAAACTTCAGGGCAGAGGCAATTGGACCCTCGTGATTGAGGTGCAATCTTTTTGTTTAAGTGATGACTGCTCGAAGTAAGTTGAGATCAGACATGTATGTAAATCTCTTCCACCAGAACGCAGAGGGTAATGTGGCTCTCGTGATTGAGGTGTAATACTTTTATTACGAAAATGAGTATGACTGTCCTTGAATGCATGGGATATGATAATAACAAGTGGTGAAATCATAATAGTGGATTGGAATCTCATGCCTCATGCATCAAACTCGTGCACCACTGCGTTGATCAATCGTCAAACTCGTGTGCTTGCAGTCTCACATGCATTATCCATACTTTTCTTGGATGGCACATATATATCACTTTCCTATCCATACTAATTATTATATTCTGATCTTGTCTCATTTTGACATTCCTCCTCTTCTTATTCCATATATGACATTATCTCATATGTTCCCATACCGGATATATTCTTTGGTACGTTTTGAATGGAGGCTAAGTGTTCTCTCCTAAGCCAGGCATATTCTTGTCCCTATTTCTATGTTGAATGCAATAATATAATGGGTCCAGTGTATAGTAACTGTGTAACCATGTAATTTCCCAATATATACATGCATAGAATGATTTGCAAGTAAGGCGTCCGGCCTTATTTGATAATTAACGAATAACGGATAGTATTAGTACTTTTCTCTGGCTCTCTAGCGGATTATTGTATTAAGTGTTCGTTGATTAGAGGTGAAGAAATTACTGATACAAGTTTTTAACTCCTATTTTAATTTAGACACTTGTAAACTTCCGTTAACACGGATAGTGTTAGCAATTTTGTCTAACACTTTAACAAATTGTATTAACTGTCCCGATCAGAGGTGGGGGAATACTTATATGAGTTTTTAGCTACTATTTTGGATATAGCTTAATAACCTTTGGCAAAAGTAGTAAGCATATAGAATCCAATGCTGCATGGCATGCAATAATATATACTAGTTTGACTAATGATGTTGGGACCTTTTTCTTTGAACTTAATATGATGAATATCATTCATATAAAAAAAATCAATAAATCAATTAGTTTTTTGGATCTAGGAACCGACGTGAAACCAGAACCGAACTACGATCACCACTACTACAGAGCCACCTTGAAGTCATTTTTTAACTTTACCATGCGAAACCCTTTATATATCCCAACATGATTAAAACTCATGAAAAATAGTACGTCCAAACTATAGACATGCTACAAGGGAAAACGAGAGTCAAGAGCAAGAGATTACGAAAAAAAGAAAAAAGAAAAAAAATGATGGTGATTTATGTGGGTGGATTGTTGCCTAAAAGTGAATGAGATCCTTTTATTAATTGTGATGATAATGCATTCAGAGTTACAAACATCATATTTATAGGTAACTCTAACTGTACATTTATAAAATTGTGATAATAATACGCCATTCCATCCCGCTCTGCTCCATTACACATTTACACTCCACTTGTCATCTTTTAATAACATATGAGACATATACAATGTACACTGCTCATGAAGTTGCTAAGCATTTTTTTTTTTAATAGTCCTATGGATGATATAGAATTAGTTAAGTGATCCTTGGAGAGCTAAAAGATCAAATTATTGATCAGTCTAAGGACAAAATATTGCCAAGCAAGCACTGCTTGCTGATGATGCTTTGAACATGAATTCCACCCATCTAAAATGGTTAGAAGGGCATATATTCTTTTGCAATATATGGAATGTCAAAAAATATATGGGAAATTAAAGTAGATATGAGTGATCAAGTGATGGTGACTAGTCTAATCCACTTCTAGCTGAGGCTATGTATAAATATGGGCATTGCAATGAACAAGAGGGTGCACCAATTGAGTGTTTCTAGGAAGAGAGGCATTGCATGAAGAGAAAAGTGTTGTTGAGTAGCCAAGGATGACTTGCCTAGAGATGTTTGAGAATTGCCATGGCATATATGGCATGGCATTTTGAACATCTTTTTGTTGGTGTTTAGGCAAGTGTCCTTGGCTATTTTGACACTCTTTTCTCCCTCATGCAAGGCCTCTCTTCAACTATAACGAGTATATTAACGAAATGGTTCTTCAGCTATGTCAATCTTACCACTTTGATTCTCGACTTCCTAGTTCTGTTCAATAATATTAACCGTCAAATTAATTAGCCATTATGTTTAAATTTTAATCTATTTTAGTTTTGGGAAGTGTGTCTAGGAAGAGAGGTCTCCCATGAAGAGAAAAGTGTTGTTGAGTAGCCAAGGATGACTTGCCTTCACAATATATCTTATTAAAAGGTGTTTGAAATTGGCATTTTGAACATCTTTTTAGATGTTGGTGTTTAGGCAAGTGTCCTTGGCTATTTTGACACTCTCTTCTCCCTCATGCAAGGCTATGTATCTCTTCTTCTCTATTATTCTTTGTTTAATATATATTGGAAGATGAAACAAATGTTTTAACTTATGCGTTCCATTTTGTTCTGTCCTATTTACTAATTTAAATTGATATTTATTTTTAATGTATAATAAAGACTATTTAAACGTCTTTTTAAGCTTTATTTTCCTGACTTCATGAATATACGTTGATAATTAATTTCTCATCATCATTCACCCACTATCTATTTTGAGTGTGTGTAAATATACAAAATTCATTTCTCTCAATTAAGATATATAATCCAAATTCACTTGAACCAAACCAAATTAAATGTGGACCTCACATATCATTTTTGCTAATTTTTCAATAGAAAGTAATTAATTAAAAATGTCACATAAATAATAATAATAATAATAATAATAATAATAATAATAATAATAATAATAATAATAATAATAATAATAATAATTCTTTATTCAATATAGACTTTTGATCAATCATTCAAGCAAAGAATATGAAATCCATTAATGGGAAACATGATTGGCCGATCTGAGCCATTGATTGAGTAGTTGATTGGTTTGGATATATAAATCCTCTAGAAGGCTTCTTTTTCCTTGGAGATTCTGTCCCACATATAATTAGACAATAACCATAAATCCATAATATATAGGACCCAAAAAATAAATAATTAAATTAATGCTTAGCTGATTGACTAGGAAATATAGGGGGCGACGGCGATGACCTAGCCGAGTTTGGGGTGCGACGACAGCTGGTAGCAAGGTGGTGGCACTGGGCGTGGCAACGACGACAACTTAGTCGGGTTTGGGGTGTGACGGTGGCTAGCAGGTTGGCTTTGGAAGACTTGGTTAGGGACAAGAAGATTTTGGAGAAGTAGAATGAAGACCTGGTTAGAATGACTTACCTCCCTCCTCCCACAAAATAAAAAAAAAATAAAAAAGATAAAAATAAAAATTCTAAAAAAAAAAAACATGCTATTTTCCTTATGACCCGTACTCATTTTCTGTTAACTCTGATTTCCCCTCCTTTGTCCAACATGGGAAGCAGAAAAATGATTTCTGAACTTCCAAAGACAATCTTAATTTCAATAGTACTTAATCTACCTCAATGCATGCCAAAAATTTTAATAATAAGTTTGAATCCAAACTTAAAAGCCAAACATAACTCATGTCCTAAAAATGAGTAAAAGAGGCAAGATGTAATTTAATTAACTAGTCTACAAGATCCCAAATGCCTGTACATTAGTATTCAGAACAAGATCAAATCAAAGCAAAACTCATGAACTTATTTTAGGTTGATTGACCGAGCTATGCCTAGCTTAGAAGCATGCATATAAATGTATATTAAGCACTATTATTGTAATTGTAATCATACAAACTCTTCTAATTTAAATACCACTAACTTTTTTGTTAAATAACGAGGAAAACATGTTGCCACTACTTAAAGTGTGCATTGGGTAACTCTCGCTCCTGTGTAATAATCTATAAACCACGTAAGAGTGATAAATCGCATTAGAAATACTCAATATGACGAATTCCACTAATTGTGTGTTGACAAAAATCGAATTCAAACTTTTTTCTTTTCTTTTATTTAACATATTATTTTTAGATTATCATATTACATTAATAATTTTATCACTTTGATAAGACCCACGGCCGTACCTATTTGATTTAAAAGTCAAGAAGTGAAAGGCACCTAAACTTAAGAAAAAAAAATAACATTTCATTTATTTTCTTAAAATATCGTATATCGTATAGCGTACCAAACATAACTACTAACTAGTGCATTTATTTTGGGATGGAAGTATTAATTTTATAATTTTATAATATTTTGTTTTTGGTAGGTAATGCCATTGGGCGGACTATGATGTTCATCGACGATGATCGATCACCTTCAAGACTTAAAATAATAATAAAAAATTAAAAATAATAATTAAAAAAAAAATGTCTTTGAATTCATGCTTATTGTTCTTAATGCATAACCGATAGCTAATATCATTATATTCTTACTAGAAATCATTAACAAATACAACTTGTGTTTTCATTATTTGGATTGTAGTTCACATGTCTCTTTTCCTTTCATTCTTATTGAGATATTAGAGATTTTTTATACTTTTTTTTTTTTTGAAAATGAGTTTTTTCTTACTTGAATGTATACGAATTTGAAGATCAGGCATTCAAATTTTACTGGGAACAGAGTTTTTCTTCTTTCAAATACTGCCTATTAAATCAGAGACTACTGATAGGTGAGTCACTTCATATCACTATACTAGAAGGTTATTAGAAATTTGTAATTTAATTTAATTTAATTTAATTATAAAAAGAAAGGATTTCATTGGTTTTAGTCTACTACGCGTTTTGGATAGCTTTTCACCAATTAGCTATTGAACAAAAATGTTTAGGACTCACCTAACCTCCCAAGTTGACTTCTCTCTTGGCCTGCATGCCATAATCAAATTTGCTATCTTAGTGGGATCCAATATTCCCTCTTGCAATTATATATTTCTTTTTTAGCTTAATACAGGCTGTTTATTGATAATTTGTTAATTTTTTTAATAATAAATTAATAAATTCTTCAAACCAATGATTTGAATCTCCTCACTATAAATAGGCCTAATTCCTCATTTGAGTGTACTACGACAAAAACATTTGCAATAATATGGTGACTCATAAGGAGTTGAGGCAATGGCCTCAACTTGCATTTGCTTTAGCTCTTTGCTTGCTAGCTTCTAGTGTAGCTGCGGATTACAAACCTTACATTTATGCATCGCCCCCACCTCCAAAGCAGGTCGAGCATCCGGTTTACTATTACAAGTCGCCACCCCCACCGCCTTCGCCTCATCCGTCGCCGTATTACTACAAGTCTCCTCCTCCACCAAAAAAATCTCCACCGCCGCCATATTATTACAAGTCTCCTCCCCCACCTAAAAAATCTCCACCACCGCCGTATTACTACAAATCTCCCCCTCCTCCATCGCCTTCGCCACCACCTCCATACTATTATAAGTCACCCCCACCACCATCTCCATCTCCACCACCACCATATCACTATAATTCTCCACCACCACCTAAAAAATCTCCACCTCCACCATACTACTACAAATCACCACCCCCTCCATCACCATCACCTCCACCCCCATACTATTACAAGTCTCCCCCACCACCGTCTCCTTCTCCTCCGCCACCATACCACTATAGTTCTCCACCACCACCTAAAAAATCTCCACCTCCACCTTACTACTACAAATCACCACCTCCCCCATCACCTTCACCGCCACCTCCCTACTATTATAAGTCTCCCCCACCACCTTCCCCTTCTCCTCCTCCACCATATTACTATAAGTCACCTCCCCCACCATCCCCATCTCCCCCGCCACCATATCATTATAGTTCTCCACCACCACCTAAAAAATCTCCACCCCCACCTTACTACTACAAATCACCACCTCCTCCCTCACCTTCACCGCCACCTCCATATTATTACAAGTCTCCCCCTCCTCCGTCACCTTCACCGCCACCTCCATACTATTACAAGTCTCCCCCTCCACCGTCTCCCTCTCCTCCTCCACCATACCACTATAGTTCTCCACCACCACCTAAAAAGTCTCCACCTCCACCCTACTACTATAAATCGCCACCACCTCCATCACCTTCGCCACCACCTCCATACTATTACAAGTCTCCTCCCCCTCCATCACCTTCACCACCACCTCCGTATTATTATAAGTCTCCCCCACCACCTTCTCCCTCTCCTCCTCCTCCATATTACTATAAATCACCTCCTCCACCATCCCCATCTCCACCACCACCATACCACTATAGTTCTCCTCCACCACCTAAAAAGTCTCCACCTCCACCTTACTACTACAAATCACCACCTCCTCCATCACCTTCGCCGCCTCCTCCATACTATTATAAGTCTCCTCCACCACCGTCTCCCTCTCCTCCTCCCCCATATTACTATAAGTCACCTCCTCCACCATCTCCATCTCCCCCACCACCATATCATTATAGTTCTCCACCACCACCTAAAAAATTTCCACCTCCACCTTACTACTACAAATCACCACCTCCACCATCACCTTCGCCGCCACCTCCATACTATTATAAGTCTCCCCCACCACCATCTCCTTCTCCTCCTCCACCATATTACTATAAGTCACCTCCTCCCCCGTCTCCGTCTCCCCCGCCACCATATCACTACAATTCCCCACCACCACCTAAAAAATCTCCCCCTCCTCCATACTATTATAAATCACCCCCACCGCCATCGCCATCACCACCACCTCCTTACCATTATAAGTCTCCACCACCACCTGTAAAATCTCCACCACCTCCATATTACTACAAATCACCGCCACCACCATCCCCATCTCCACCTCCTCCTTACTATTATAAATCTCCACCACTACCACCTGTGAAGTCTCATTCTCCCTATCTCTACTCATCACCCCCTCCTCCCCACCATTACTAAAACAGTCACCAATTTGAATCCCATTTTCAAAACATCAATAAGCTGTTGTCTCACATGCATAATCCATAATGCTCCTTGATATACAAGTGTATGTACTTTCATAATTGATTTGTTTAATGAGTGTTGTAACTTCGTACAAGCATATTCTTCAACAATATAATGTTTTCTTTGAATAATTGGGTCTTGAATCTTTGCTATTTTGATATATTGTCACGAGATACTTGGTAATCTGTCTTGTCTTTATCTTCATACAGCAAGTACACAAATGGAATAAATTTCATTTTTTATCCCAATGATGAACAAATTCAATGATTTGAATGAATATTTAAGACAAAATGACCTATCCAACACCCCCTCGGCGGCCGGCCAGTCAACTAGTAGAACTACAAGCCTCTAAATAATTTAATATAACTACCTAATTAAGAGGATAATAATTGTCGTCGTGAGACATAATAATAATAATAGAGTCAATACCCAAAATCGTCCTCGACTATAGTGATTTTTCTCAATTTCGTCCTAAACGACTTTGGTGACCTAATATCGTCCCAGACTTTTGTGTTTCGCTCAATTTAGTCCTCCATTTGTTATTCCGTCAAATTGGTGTTAAATAAAGGGACAATTCAGTAATGTCAATATTGATCTCTCTTTACTTTCAACTTGTGAAGTGCGAAATTCCTCTTTCTTGTACGAATTACACCCAGAATTACTCCCGGACCTGCAAATCAAATTTTATATTCGCAGTTTTAGGAGTAATTCTAGGGGTAATTCGTAAAAAAAAAAAAAAAAAAGGATTTTGCAGTTCACATGTCTATGAGTAAAGAGATGCCAATATTAAAATTACTGAATTGTCTATTTATTTAACACCAAATGGACATAATAACAAATGAGGGACTAAATTGAGAAAAACACAAAAGTCTGGGACTAAATTGAGCGAAACACAAAAGTCTGAGACGATATTAGGTCACCAAAGTCGTTTAGGACGAAATTGAGAAAAACCACTATAGTCGAGGACGATTTTGGGTATTAACTCAATAATAATAATAATAATAATAATAATAATAATAATAATAATTTCCATTCACATTTTACCCCTCCCATCCCATGCATTATTTTCTATATTAAAAGATTTAATGTGGTATTTATATTTTATACAGCCTTTTTTAAGGGTCAGACTGTCAGAGCAACGAGAGACACTTAAGTTTTGCGTACGTTCAAAATTATATTATAAATAAAAAATGACGTGAGATAAATCAATATAATTTAATAAATATATATTTTCAAATGGAAATACACCATAATATTAATGAACAACTTAACGTTACAATTTTACAAAGTACAAATGAAATGAAACAACATGCAAAGTTGAAATTAAAGAGGAAGAATTGAAGTTGTAATGAATTGCTTTCTTTCTTTCCCAATTAAGATGAACTTAGTAGTACGTGTCTCTTCACCATGTCAAAAGGTCAGCGAACCATGTCGCTCATGTGCTTGCACGGGTAACAGGTTCTTCTCCTGTCCTAGGTTCGTGGTTCAGTGTGCCACCATCCTGTATTTCACATTTGGTTATTGCTTAATAATATCTACCTTCTTCCTTTCAAAAAGATGAACTTAGTAGTACGGTGGTGGTGGTGATTTATAGTAGTATACCGGTGGAGACAGCGTTGGAGCCTGCGAATACCCGTCGTTCGCTACCAGAGAAGGCGGAGACTTGTAACCATACCACTATTGAAAATTATGGAATTTCCGACCACCTGAAAGTAATCTTAAATCAAGTTGATACTAAAAAGTGGTCGGAAATAGCAACAAAGGTTTTTTCGGATACCAAAAGTGGTCGGAACAAGGCTTTTGACTTGATTTAAGATTACTTTCAGGTGGTCGGAAATTTCAGAATTTTCAGTAGTGTACGGCGGAGGAGGGGGCGGCGATACATACAAATACGGCTGAGAACCGCCAGCAACCACATTTGTGAACTCCACAAATGCAGCCAAGACTAAAACGATCATAATCTGTGGCCAAAAAGTGGCCATTGCCTGCAAATGGTCTGCCGGAAAGTATAAAGCTTATGATCGAGTTCTTACAATTACTTAGCCGGAGAAGATGAGAAAGAGAAATGGAGGTTGTGCGTGTACAGAAAGAGCAAGTATTCGCCATATATGTTATTCAACAATATTATTGTAATTTTGCAATAGTTTTTTTGTTATTATTTATTAGTTTAGTATCAATATTTTTTTATTACAAGGTCACATATACAAGCTACTATGCTTCCATCAAAGCTCAAACTAATCACCTCTCATATATAGGAATAACTTGATACCAATAAATCACAAGGTTATTGGTAGTTTAGTATCAATATTTGATAATCATATTAAACTCTAACTAATTCAAATTTTCAAATTACAAAAAATTAATCTGGATTCCGTTCAAGTTTCAAATTACGAAAAATTAATCTGGATTCGGTTCGAGCTGCGCTTGTAAAATTCGACTCTTTTTAAAAGAAAGGACTTGGGACAATACTCTTTAATATGATACACACGTAAAAAAGAGTAGATTTTATTAACCAACATTAGTATTCATCATACTTGATTGAACTCTAAATTATTCTGTAGACCCGAATCTAAAAATACACAATTTACATACTAAATATTTACAATTTTTCATACTAAATGTTCATAATTTGTGTATTTTGAACCCGGGTCCATTAACGGTTGGATCTGAACCTGACAACAAATCAATGGTGGACAACATCTGAGAACATAAACCCTCCAATGTTTCTACTGTCATCTTGGAAGAAGACCCTCCTGGAGTCCATTATTGTTGCGCTTGAATGCAGCTTTGAAAGTGGAGGAATGTTCCGATTGCGATGTTAAGATGACAACGAGCATAAAAATCATGGTGACGACCAAGAAAACCGCACAGAGCGAAGCCTCTCCCCACGACAACGGGCACCATACGAAGAACTCCACGATGCCGAGAAGAACCAGACAGGCCCAAACCACGGAAACCTGTGACCAGATTTAAGAACGAGACTCCATGTTTATTATTTATACATAAACGGTTGAAGTCAAGAAGGCGGTGTGGGCCCCACATAACTTTCGGTAAACTATTCGTGTGTTCATGTTTGTTTATTAAGGTAAATAAACTTAACAAATTTTAGAGCTAGGTTCATAAATTAACATAGTCTGAACAGTTGTAGGCTCGTTTGTTAAGAACTTGAACAAGCTAGTTTGCGTTTGTTTAATAATACTCAATATAAATATATATATTAGATGCTACGATTCGACTTATTTAATTATTTGTATTAGTTTTGTTGTTGTGTTGTTTGTTTGGTTATTGTTCGTGAAGATAGATCATTTCTTGTTTACGAACGAACTGTGATAATGAACATGTGCAGGCCGGTGTTTGGTTATTAAGTAATTCACGTTCATGAACGTAAAAGAACATGTTTGTGAATGTGTTTGTTACAAACGAACACAATCACTCTAAAATTCATAACAAATCAAAACGAATATCCTCTGTTCGTTTATGTTCGGTTCGTTAATAGCCCTATGGCTTACCAGCACGGATTTTCTTGGTCTGGCAATGTCATGGCATTCTTTGTCGGTGAATTTGCCTATGGCGAGATGTTGCTCCAACAGCGCATCCTTCACCATCACAAAAGAATCAAAGATTGAGTTCGAGGCATGAAACCCCACTATGATAATCCCAAAAAGACTAACCATTTATTACTTACTTTTTTCACGAAAACATCTTTGCACCACTGTGATATGCCACTCCCTGATTCAGGCAAATCCTGCATCAAATGGCGTTGAATGTGGACATGAACCTGCAAACCAAACATCTTAACAATCAGGGCCGATTTTTTTTATTTTTGTGACCCGTTCTTATAAATAAATGAGGCCCTACCAAAAGTATAAGCCCTCCGAAATGATGTTTTGCTTACTTACCACAGAAGAACGCCTTTGGAAGATTCTTAACATTGTTGGCTGCTCCTCAGATTTTGGAATGGCTACTGTCAGGTCGTAAATTGCAGGGACTAATGAGCGTAAATGGCTTACTGTTGAAACAAAGCCCTGCAGAAATACAAGAACAGGTAAATAACTAAATACATATATTAGCTAAAACCCATATATAATTGAAGCATGTGCTTCATCTCAACTAAAAGCTTAAGCTAATAGTTGGATTGCACATTAATGGCTCATATATATATACCTTGGTACGAGGAATCAAAACGTTTTTCGGGACTGGCAATCCAGCTGAAGCAGCATATTCTTGCGCTTCTAAAAGATTTTCCCGGGTAAAGCAAGTGCCTTCCAAGAAAACCACCAACCAAAACGGTTGTTGGAAATCGTTTAGCTCTTCGAAACCTGACTGCAGTAACAGACAATAGAAGAAAGAAAGAAAGAAAGAAAGAAATGCATTGCAGAGATCAGAGAGGTCCTAAAACCCGAAAAATATTGCAGATCAGAAGAAATTTGAACATATATACCTGCAGATTTCTTTCATCCTTTGCCCAGTTCCCTTCAATGACAATAAAACCAGCAAACCACATCGCCCATCCCAAAATCTACATAGACAATAAACTAAAACTATCAATTCTAAATCTTCAAAAGAAAGAATAGTTTCATTGGGGGCATTAAGAAACTTACTGGGATATAAAATAACAGTTTCTTTGCTAGAGCTAGAGCGTTCCCCGAGCAACCAGCTCGCTGTGGTTGAATTATAATTATCAGTATATATATATAAGGAAATTTTTTAGCAAGATTAATGCTATGGAAACGAATCGAAATTCAGCTTCGAGAAGATAAACACCTGAGCGAGGATAAGTTTAACAAGCCAATCAATGTCACTTCTGTGGTTAGAAATAACAACCGCGTTCTCTTTACCTGAAAGTAACTTAAACTTTTGTAAAATCTTAGCATGTGCTCCATCTCAACTAAAAGCTTAAACTGATAGTTGGATTGCACGACCTTTAGCATTATGGCTCTGATACTAAATTGAAGCATGTGTTCCATCTCAACTAAAAGCTTAAGCTGATAATTGGATTGCACATTAATAATTATATGCTCAAAGTTAGCCAAGATTCCTTACCCAGTAATTCATAAGTTTCTGGGTCTATGTACAGCTTAACCTGTCAGGAACATCTGGATCGAGTGAGATTACCGTTGCTGCAACTGAAAATAAACTGAAAAAACAAAAACAGAAAAACATATAGTCTAACAACAGTACACCTTAATATTTGCCCACCAGTGAAATAGCCAAACAAACTGCAACCATAATAACTCCGTTACTTCTTTGTTGATCCTTCTGTATATCCACTTTGAAATTGGACGCACTAGAACAAAGAGAAGAGCCTGGGAGTGCAATCATTTCAAAGTAGACAAGAATACTCAAATGTAAGATTTTCCCTTAATTAATTAAGTGGTCTAAGTTGACCAGGCTTACTAATTTAAGTAGTTTGGTTGAACTAAATAACTAGAAGTTGTTATTCAATCTGACTCTATGCCTAATATAAACCTGAATTGATAGGATACAAATATTCATTATATAGCACATTCAATTACGGTAATATATAATGTATATATAAACAAGTACCTGAAAGAAGTTGACAGTGAGGCCAGAGATAATGAAAATCAAGCCGAAAGGGAGAATAACAACAGTGGCAATGGCCATGCCCATTATATTGCCAGAAAAAAGATCATATATATATATATATATATATATATCCACATGTAAAAGAGGGAAGGAGTTCTTGGTTTCAGGAACAGTACGTTTATCTGTATTTATACATGTCGATATATATATATATATATATATATATATATATATATACAGATTGTACAGTTGGAGTTTGACCCTTGGGAACAAAGGATTGATTTTTTTTATTCAGTTCCCTCCATAATAGTTTTTTTTTTTTTTAAATAACTGTGCTGGTTGGAAAGCACGTGTCATGTTCTTCCATGTGTACATAATGTTCCAAACACGCAATCTTAACAAATAATATTATCTGTGAGTTGAATTAGAGGATATAACTAGTTGAATATGTTTAATAAATCAGCTGTTTGATATAATTTCTTTTCTCAAAAAATTAATTGAAAAATTTAGCAACTTTTTGAATTTTAACATTTTGGAGTTACAAAAAATTAATTAACCAAACACTTATATTGATTTGTTAACCAAATCAAACAGTTAATAATAGTCAAATAAATCAAAATTAACTCATATACTATTTTACTAAACAAGGCCTATATATATCAACCAAAACAAATAATACTATATCAACCAAATTCTTATTAGTTTCAATTATTTGGAACAAATATTTGGTTTGAAGTAGTGACCAAGTGTTAATCCCTTCGATCCATTAGGCCATGAACTCAAACCCTTGAAACCTCTTTCAAAGCAGATAGATGGTTTCTCAGAACTACCTTCATCACACCTTCAGTGATGCAGGATCCACCAATCACTCTATTACTCTAGTCTACTATCTATTCCATCATTATAAACAACAATATAAATTTGGTAAAACTTTAGCCATTAACCAAGCAATACAAGCAAATTGACTAACAAGTTATGCCATACATCGTCTCTATCATATGAAATCAGGATATATTGTGGGCAATCCCAGTCAAGTTGGCCAGTTGATTTGGTTACCACAAGATTCCCTCAATCATGTGAACCATATTTTGTATATTGTAAAATAATGTACATTTAGTATATTAAAAATGTACATTTTTGTTATTGTCCACATAACACTGTGTGGACCATGATCTACACAATAATTTGCAAACAGCCTATTGGCCTTCTTGGCTCCTTGTGATCCTTTGCCACCAAGGGCCACGGGTTTAGCCAGTACACATCTTCAAGTAGTGGGGAAAAGAGGCTCCTAGCTAAAGGTAGCTTGTCTCGCCCAGGAGGTGAGAAGAGTTGAGAACAAAGTGGCGAACAGGTGTGTAACGCGTGGGAATCTGCCGAACAGTTCGGGTCAGATCCTGAAGAAAGCTAAAAAGCGCTGTTTGATGAGCCTGCGTAGTATTAGGTAGTTGGTCAGGTAAAGGCTGACCAAGCCAATGATGCTTAGCTGGTCTTTTCAGATGATCAGCCACACTGGGACTGAGACACAACCGGACTCCCACGGGGGGCATCAATGGGGAATCTTGGACAATAGGCGAAAGCCCGATCCAGCAATATCGCGTGAGTGAAGAAGGGAAATGCCGCTTATAAAGCTCTTTCGTCAAGTGCGCGATCATGACAGGACTCGATGAAGAAGCCCTGGCTAAGCCAGCAGCCGCGGTAAGACGGGGCGCAAGTGTTCTTCGAAATGATTGGGCGTAAAGGGCACGTAGGGAATTTCCCTCATCATTCAAAAAAAAAAAAATGAGGGTATATCAACAAGGAAATCAAAACTTTATATAACCTTGCCATAATATCAGCCCACCTGCAGCCCAGTTTCATACGTAGGTTTGACTAGTTGTAGTTGATAACATTAGTTAATTGTTGAAAATTATTTTGTTAAATTAACACCTGATTACGTACAAAATGATTTTCCATGTTTTATTTGAGCAACTTTTTAAATTTTAACATTTTTTATCAATAAACTATTACAAAAAGCTAATTAATCAAACACAATTGTTTAACCAAGACAAACAGATCAAACAATCATATTGATTGTTTAACGAAGACAAACAGCTAATAGTGGTCAAACAAATCAAAATTGCGCTTGTAAAATTCGACCCTTTTTAAGAGAAAGGACTTGGAGTCTATTAACCAATATTACTATTTTTTTATTTTTTTTTTTTGGTGAGGTTTAACCAATATTACTATATTAGTATTCATCGTTAAGGACATTCTATTTTAGTGATAAAACTAATGTTTGTATGATTTATCAGACAAACAACAAAATCAATGGTGGACATCTCAGAACATAAACCCTGCAATGTTTCTGCTGTCATCTTGGAAGAAGACCTTCCTGGGGTCCATTCTTGCGCTTGAATGCAGCTTTGAAAGTGGAGGAACAATCTGATTGCGATGTTAAGATGAGAACTCGCATAAAAATCATGGCGACGATCAAGAAAACTGCACAGAGTGCAGCCTCTCTCCACGACAACGGGCACCATACGAAGAACTCCACGACGCCAAGCAGAACCAGACAGGACCAAACGACAACAACCTGGGACAAGATTTAAGAACGAGGCTGCATGTTTATTGTTTATACATAAACGGTTGAAGTAAAGAAGGCGGTATGGCTTACCAGCAAGGATTTTCTTGGTCTGCCAATGTCACGGCATTGTTTGTCTGTGAATTTGCCTGTGGCGAGATGTTGCTCCAACAACGCATCCTTAAACAACACAAGAGAATCAAGATTGAGCTCGAGGCATGAAACCCCACTATGATAATGGAGTTATCAAGACACGAAAAAATACAGTGTTGCAAAAATCGCGCCTAGGCGCTAGGCTGTCGGCCTCGTAGGCGCTCTAGGGGGTCCCAGGCACCTAGTGATTTTTTCAACATTGGAAAAAGATTAACGATTTATTACTTTTTCCACGAAAACATCTTTGCACCACTGTGATATGCCACTCCCTGATTCGGGCAAATCCTGCATCAGATGGCGCTGAATGTGGACATGAACCTGCAAACCAAACATGGCATCAAACCGAGCAACAAAAGAAAGCGTCACTTATTAACTACCCCGCTTTAATTTCTCACTACGCAGAAACGCTGAAAATGTTTTGCTTACTTACCACAGAAGAACGCCTTTGGAAGATTCTTAACATTGTTGGCTGCTCCTCAGTTTTCGGAATGGCTACTGTCAGGTCGTAAATTGCAGGGACGAATGTGCGTAAATGGCTTACTGTTTTTACAAAGCCCTGCAGAAATACAAGAACAGGTAAATAACTAAATACATATTAGCTAAAAGCCATATATATATATATACACCTTGGTACGAGGAATCAAAACGTTCTTTGGGATTGGCAATCCAGCCGAAGCAGCATACTCTTGCGCTGCTAAAAGATTCTCCCTGGTAAAGCGAGTGCCTTCTAAGAAAACGACCAACCAAAATGGTTGTTGGAAATCGTTTAGCTCTTTGAAACCCGACTGCAGTAAGAGACAATAGAAGAAAGAAATAAACGCATTGCAGAGAGGTCCAAACACCGAAAAATATTGCAGAAGAAATTCGAACATACCTGCAGTTTTCTTTCATCCTTTGCCCAGTTTCCCTCAATGACAATAAAACCAAGAAACCACATCGACCATCCCAAAATCTGCATAGACAATAAATGATTTACCTCCGATATGTTTCATCAACGGTCCGACAACTTAAACTGTCAATTTTAACTTTTCAAAAGAAGAATAGTTTCATTGGGCATGAATATTCTTCGAAACTTACTGGGATATAAAATAACGGTTTCTTTGCTAGAGCTAGAGTGTTCCCAAGGCAACCAGCTCGCTGTCATTGAATTATCAGTAATAGTCAATAACAGAACCCGCGATGATATATATATATATATATATATATATAAATAACATATTAACATATGAAAGAGCAAACATGTGGGTAATGAAGGCCTAAAAGATTCTTTCAGCATTATATATATAAGGAAATTTTTAGCAAGTATTTGATCGTGAGATTAATGCTATGGAAACGGAATTGCAAAACTAATCAGCTTCGAGTAGATAAACACCTGAGCGAGGATAAATTCAACAAGCCAATCAATGTCACTTCTGTGATTAGAAATAACAACCGCGTTCTCTTTACCTGAAAGTACTTAAAGTTGGTAAATCTTTATGTTTGAAAGGAATACCACATTTATGCAAGAGCCGAGATTCCTTACCCAGTAATTCATAAGTTTCTGGATCTATGTACAGCTCAACCTGTCAGGAAATAGGCATTTATCCAGTAATTCATAAACCATCACATCTCGAGTGAGATTACCGTTGCTACAACTGAAAATAAACTGAAAAAAAAAAAAACAGAAAAACATATAGTCTCCCAACACCTTAATATTCGCCCACCAGTCAAATAGCCAAACAAACTGCAACCACAATAACTCCGTGACTTCTTTGTTGATCCTTCTGTATATCGACTTTGAAATTGGACGCACTAGAACAAAGAGAAGAGCCTGGGAGTGCAATCGTTTCAAAAAATTGAATAAGATCATTCTGGCAAAAACTCTCACATGCACACGTATATACAGTATCAGGCATTTGAAATTCTTTCAAATAACAGACAAATGCTAAGTCCCACATGAATCTGGATAGCATAGATTAAAAAGATGAATACCAAATGCCAAGAAAATATAAAAAGTAGCAAGTAAAGTAGGCAAGAAAAGTCAAAAACATACAAATGCAAAGAAATCCCAGAACAACAAACTGCTAAAAGAACAGAAAGAACAAGCCTTTATAGAAACTAAGAAGAAAAGAACACATCTAAATACTTGTCTCTGTGTGTCAAAGAATGAAAAGTACATGCAAGTAAATATGTGTGTTGTGTGTGTGTTTATATATATATATAATGTATGTAGAAGTACCTGAAAGAAGTTGACAGTGAGGCCAGAGATAATGAAAAGCAAGCCGAGAGGGAGAATAACAACAGTGGCAATGGCCATCGCCAGAAAAAGATCATCCACATGTAAAAGAGGAAAGGAGTTCTGGGTTTCAGGAACAGTTTATCTATATGTATACACGTGTATATGCATATACAAATATATAAAGATTGTACAGTCGGCATTTGACCCTTAGTCACAAAGGATTGATTTTTTAACTTGCCTTCCCTCTCTAAGTTTCTTAACTCTCACTGGAAATTGATGTATGACATAATTTAAAATGTGTACTTTTTTTTAAATAACTGTGTTGGTTGGAAAGCACATGTCATGTTCTTCCATGTGTACACTAATGTTCCAAACACGCAATCTTAACAAATAATAATATATCAACCAAGAAGGTGGGGACCAAGCTTAACTAAAGTTCTGATAATGAAATTACACATTTATATTTGATATGTTACATACTCAATAGTTGGTTAAAACAATTTACTTAAGGCTTAAGCAGACAAATCAAGGCTGGTTGAAAATTTTTAAACTTTTGTTCAATAATATTACAGTACTCCTTACATATGTAGAAATAAGCATCATTTGAGGCAGCTAGACTTTCATATATCCCTTAGGAGTGTAGACAATAAGAGTCGATAAGTTCACTTGCCCTGCTGTTATACCAAGTCTAAAGTAAACATCAGTAGTCTAAATTCTAAAACCTATAAATTTGGAACACACCGACTAACTAGAAGACAACGGTAAAATGCCCGGTTTGCATATCATGATCCAAAAGCTTCATTCTCAGAAAGCGTTTGTGACTTGTAGTATGAACATGAGATGTTCATCCAGAGTTGCCGCTACCGGATTGTGAGCGGGACTCGAATAAGAGTCTCACGGTTGTAAAGATGAGAGAAGGTTCAGCCATTGCTCCATTCCCGTAATCTCCACAAGCTAGTCTCTTGGGTACTGGTGGGATAAGAGAAATTCCGAGCTCATCAATAGCCATAAGATGTCGTTCAGTGAAAGGATTAGTCCACATGAATGTATTCATGGCAGGTGCCACAAAAAGTGGCTTGTTATAGTCCCATGCCCGCACAATGCATGTCAACAGGTTATCGCACAATCCACCAGCAATCTGCAATATGACGCCAGTAATATATGATGTTAGAACCACGTAGACAGTTCAGATATCTCAATCTCAAATCTCAATCCAGGGACCAACACAAAGCAGGACACCCTTGAGGGGCAGGCAGATGCCCACCCTTAGTGGGCACAATGGGATTCTCCCTGAGGGATGACCACAAGCACGGGCTGCCCCGGTTGGGGAGAAACCAACCCACACCAGATTAAAGATAATAAATTCTTATTAGTTTCAATTACTTCGAACAAATATTTGGTTTGAAGTAGTGACCAAGTGTTAATCCCTTGATCCATTAGGCCATGAACTCAAACCCTTGAAACCTCTTTCAAAGCAGATAGATGGTTTCTCAGATCTACCTTCATCACACCTTCGGTGATGCAGGATCCATCGATCACTCTAGTACTCTACTATCCATTCCATCATTATAAACAACAATATAAATTTGGTAAAACTTTAGCCATTAACCAATACAAGCAAATTGACTAACAAGTTATGCCATACATCATCTCTATCATATGAAAATGAAACCAGGATATAATGGGGGCAACCCCAGCCAAGTTGGCCAGTTGACTTGGTAACCACAAGATTACAAGTTGGACTCCCAACAGCCTATTGGACTTCTTGGCAACCTAAGAAGGTTTACCTCCTTGTGATCCTTTGCCACCCAGGGCAACCTAAGCTCGTTTGCCTCCTTGTAATCCTTTGCCACCAAGGGCAACCTAGGACAACCTAAACTGGTTATCTGGTTTACCTCCTTGTGATCCTTTGCCACCAAGGGGAACCTAACTGGTTTACCTTGTGATCTTTTGCCACCAAGGGTAACCTAAACTGGTTTACCTCGTGATCCTTTGCCACAAAAGGCAACCTAAACTGGCTTACCTCCTTGTGATCCTTTGTCACCAAGGGCAACCTAAACTGGTTTACCTCCTTGTGATCCTTTGCCACCCAGGGCAACCTAAAAAATGTATATCAACAAGGAAATCAAAACTTGATATTACCTTGCCAAGTGTATTTGCCGACAAAGGAGCAATGACCATAATATCAGCCCACCTGCGAAGCTCAATGTGCAGCACACTATCACCTATCCTCTTCCAAGTTGACCATTCATCCTCATCTGTGTACAGAACCACATCCTTTGGAAGTGAAGTTTTATCTATGAAGTGCAGAGAAGCCTTCGACGCGACGGCCTTCACTTCTGCCCATTCAGAAAAGCAATGGCACAAATTCGCAAATTTGATCGCAGCAACACTCCCACTCGCAGCTAGCAGTATCCGAGGTCTCCTGGCAGCCGTGTTTGACGGAGCTTGTTCCATCTCTGCATCCACACCAGCCCCCAATTGTGCCATAACCTATCAAATACCAATTAGGTTCACAACTTCACAAATCTATGAAAAAAATGAAAATTTTAAGACCGCATTCCCATTTCCTAATCTGAATTCCATTGTGCGATTGAGATGGGTGCATTGAAAATTAGGAAGATTCAAGTATGGATTTGATACCTCGATGTAGGAAGAGTTTCGGAGATGGTTTCTCTAGGATCTTGAAGCAAGTTTGGTCGTCGTCGTCATCCACAACAACTCGGAGACATTAACGTTGTTCCTGAGAAATCGATTTGTGGAAGACAGTAGTGAGGGAGAGAAATACAGTTCTAGGGTTTTGTCTTTTTCGATCTTTCCAACATTTTTACAGTTCAACAGTCAGAGGTGCACAAAAATACCAAACTACCCTCTAAGTGTAAAAAAAAAAAAAAAAAAAAAAAAAAAAAAAAAAAAACTAAAAATAGTCTATTAAGGAAATTATACTTTCTTTTTTTTTTGGAAATTATACTAAAATTCCATATGTGAAATATATGGTTAAAGTACCTACGAGGTCCCTGTACTATAATGTTTTGTTCAATTTAGTCTTTATATTTTTATTTTGTTCAATTTAGTCCCTGTACTTTTAAAAGTGGTGCAATTAAGGACAATTGTTAACAATGTTAATATTATCGTTAACTTAGGTTACGTGACGCTGATGATATTTATATTCCTACTCATATATTACTTTATAAATATTTAAAAGATTTTATTTTTACCACCAATATATTAAATTAGTATGTCCAAAATAAATAATTACGACCATGTTCGTAATGAGATTTGGACAATTGTCCTTAGTTTTATCACTTTTTAAAGTAGAGGGACTAAATTGAACAGAATAAAGTTAGAAGGACTAAATTGAACAAAACATTATCGTACAGGGACTTCATAGGTACTTTGACCGAAATATATCTGTAATTTTTCTTAAATTTCAAATATATTGTACTTATAACCGGTTGAGTTACCCATGCAGCTTAAATGGTGACATTTTTTTACTAAAGACCTGTAACTATAACATCCCCGTTTGATTCACTGGAAAATATTTGAAGGAAAATGGAATTGAGATTTTATAAAAAATAAATTTTATTGTTTGGTTGGTGAAAAAGAAATTACTCGAAATATAAATTTCATTGTTTTGTTGAGTTTAAAATTATAAAGAATAATGAAAGTATAAAGACACTTTGATAATAATAATGATGGTAAATAACAAAAGGAAAATGTTTTCTATGAACCAAACAAAGGAAAATTATACTCCGTATTAACTTTGATATGCAGTATATCAAGTTTATTATATAATGAGAAAAGGGTGAACGAGATGATATTGTGAATCAAATTAAATACAAAGAATGTTCAAAGATCAACTGTTCAAAGATCAATTGTTACCAAAAACAATGCCAATGGCAGGGTCAAAAGTTGTGATTAAATAATTCAAATGAAAAAATAAATAAAATGTTCTGAGACCCAATGTTTATTGCACAATGGTGGTACAAAAAGGGGTAAAACACAACAACAATACAACATGCATTGCTTTTCCTGGATTGAATCACAAATACTTGGCCAGCCATGGGAGATCCTTGCTTTCTTTAAGTGCAAAAGCCACATCATCACTGCAGTACACAGATGAAAAACAAGAGTTATGCCATGGTTTCAAGTTGCTTTCAGGTTCAGATTATTATAATTCTTTTTTTTATAACCCAGGTTTTCCGGTTTTGTCAGAATATATCTTAACCCCATTAACCTGCCCTGCCCCTAGACCCATGAGAAGGTAAACCGACCAAATCTAGCTTCAATATTATTATAATTATTATAATTCAAATTCAATAATATAACTGCTGTTTTAGAGTTATCTTGGAATCTAACCTGGGGAAGTTGAGCTGTAACTTTTGCAGTTTGTGCTTTACTCCTGGTTCACATAATAGTACTCTGCATTCTCCAAGCATGCATCTGTCACACCATCCCAGCAACACAGATGATTAGAATTCAGAAAAGTTGAATATATTAAAATGCTTAGTGCTTAATCAAATTAAAGTGTATTGTGGCTTACCCAACTTTTAGGAGTGAATCCCAACCTGGAAACTTTTCACCATTACTTGTACAAAGACATGAAACAGTCATTGCCAACTGCAATTGGAGGAAATATTCAGAAAATGCGCATAAAGCTTCAAGAGATAATGACATACGCGTATATGGAAACCAAAGGTACTGACCTTCTCAAATGTGGTTTCACTCATTCCAGTCTTATGAAGTTCATAAACCATAGCAGCCAAGAAGATTTTACTAAATCTAGAGCTGCTTCTCATCACCTGGAGAACATAAAAAAGTTTAGTATACATTAGACTTTGAAGTACCAAATAAATCAGCACTTCAGCAAGCTTATAGAAGGAAGAATCCATATATTCTTGACTCACTTGAATATGAGGAGCCTGGAACATTTCGTGAATAGCTGCTTCAACATCAGCCATTCCAACTAGTTCCTTTCCTGAAAATATAAAAAGATAAAGTCAATAGAATTCCACACCTATATATATATATATATATATATATATGAAACTAACACAACATAAAACATGACAAATTAAGTGGTCAAAATCAAACCTGCTGCAGAAGAATGAACTTTCTTAACACGGTAATCTGCAAGTTCTGCAGCACGTCTACATATTTCCAATGCACGACGAGCATCACCTGAAACAGCTGCCACCTGATTTTATATACAAAATGCACAATAAAATGATAAGTTTCTACAATCAACTCTGAAGAATAAATAAGATGTCAGCTATCAAACATGTTTTAAAGCAGCAGAGTCAAACACATTAATGAGACCTTTCTCGAAGCAAATTCAATTGCAGGCTTTTCAAAGGCATTTATTCCATTTAGGCGAGTTGAAATAATCTCTTGAAGTTGCTGGTAGTTGTAGGGACCAAAGCATAGTCTTTGTATGCCCATACGGCTTGAAATACGAGGAAGTAACTTCTCTGGAAGATCCATAGTATTTGCTATTCCTGAATTAGCCAAAATAAATAAATAAATAAAAGAGCAGTTACATATTTTATCACAATGAGGATTTTCCATATGGGGAGAAACACAGAAAGTAATATATGCCCGCACCTATAATAATTAGTCTTGAATGTGGCTTAGTAGGCCAATCAAGAATGTTGTATAGGACCTGTCATTAGAGGAGAAAGAATGATGGATATACAATTTCCAGGCTTACAGAAACCTAATGTAGGCTAATTCAGATGATCATAATTACCGATTGGTTCCTGGTTACTAGAAGATCAAGTTCATCAATAAGAAGAATACAGGGGCGGTTATCCTCTTTGCCACGCTCAGTTCCATTTGAGAATCTCTCATTTAAGAGCTTAAGAGCTTTCTTCCAACCAACTCTATGTCCATTTAATGCTTCATAAATAACCTGAAAACCATATAATTTTACTTTAGAGAAAATGTTATATCACTGATTCCTGGCATTGTAAGTTAGGATAAGCTAAAGTACTTACACTGTAAATATGTTCAGGTGAAGCCAATTTTAGACCATTAATTTCTACAAAACAGTAAGGCTTAATACTTCCAGCATCTACCTCAGATTTGAGGTTCCTCATTACTGATAATACACTCATTGTCTGCACTATGCCACAGATGGATAAAAGAAAGAGTTAAATCTGATCAAAATAACTCTAATAGCTAGTAGAGCAGTTCTATTGTAAGTACACTCCTAGATCTAAAGAATACCTTTCCTGTCCCGGGAACACCATGTATGTAAAGGCACTTCCCTAGGCATTGATATTCACATATGGAACCCTTGATAAATGCAGTTATCTCTTCCATTTCTCTGCGTAAAATAATGTTATATAAGTAATAATTATGTCAGAGATGTACAGCACGGAATTCATTCAAGTTGTGATCAAATATGAACATACTTATTCCTACAAGGTAAAGACTTGGGGAGAGTTGCCAGTAGAAGTGTTGCTTTTGCTTTTTCAAGTTCTGTGAACTTGTGGGATCTTACGTGTTCTGGTATTTTCTTTGCTCCTATTTTTTGAAGTCCGAAAATTCGCCCCTTTCGTGAATTCTACAGTAATGATAGAGAAGCAATTAGTCTTCTTCTTTGGGATATATCAAGTATTGAGCTTTATAAATGCAAGCATACCGCGGCCAATGGATGAGCTGGTAATTGTCTTCTATTCAATAAATTATGATTATTCTCCTCTTCATATTCTACATCATCTTCACTATCTGAGCCAGAACCTTCAGCAGAATTCCACTCCCTATCACTCTCAACTTCCTCACAATCCTATTGCATACATAAGAACCTCAATTAGAGCAAAATTCAAGCCAATATTGATATAATATGATCTTAATAAACATTTGTTTTTCGATGAGATCTTACCTCTTCGCCATCATCAATGTCTGCAATACGCTTGAAACTATGCCAGTGTATATCATATTCATATTCACATAGAAAAACGTCATCTCCTCCATTGTTTGCCTTGGAAAATTCTTTTGGAGTCAAAATGTAGCAATGTCTGATGATAGATTCCATCTACAGAAGAGAATCATTAGAAGACTAAAAGTTGATACAGGATGTATCTTTTTCTTCCATAAAAGATGTTCTACTTAAAATGCTCAATGCTCTTGGATTTGGTTTCTGTTTTGGTGAATTATCAATTGTCAGATCTAAATCATCATAGCAAAATCTTAATCTTAAAATAATAAATAAATTCATCAATGCTCTTCATTCATGATAACAAGTACGCAATGGGAAACAAGATACAAATGGTAATCTGAAAACAAGAGCGGGCAAAAGAAAATTAGGAAAACAATTACAAACACCCACCAGAGCAAGTGTTTAAGAAAATTACCTCAGCATCTGCGAAGTCATTCGTTCGATAGAGCTCTCTTCTTAAGTTATGTGGTTGTCTTCCTGCAGCAGTTTCTTCTGGAATAATATACCAATGAGCCTTGAACCGGTAAGTACCGTCTACATCTTTCCATATACTGAAATTCATAAAAAATGCTCACCATTAATACACTAAGAAGAATGTGGTAATCAAAGCACACTTGAGAATTGATTATTAAATCATTACATGATCCCTACTATCCTAGGGCACTACATGATCACCTATTTGATTGTTATTTGCTTTGTTCATTACTTTCATCTCACACAAACCTTATGACTAAAATCAACCTTTCAAGAATTTAAAATTTAATTTAATTTTTTTTAATTTTACCTCTCAATGCGAGCTGCATACAGATCACTGGCAAGCATCTTCTCCCTTGCTGTCCTAGCCCTTTTCTTTCCCTTAGGAGGGACAGGCAATTGCACAG